ATTTATTTTGTAATAGGTTTTTTGAATCGAAATGTTATGAAGATTATAAAAATGCACTAATATAAGTACAGCTATTCTATTTAAATTTCTGTCTTTGGTTGATGTTATGAGTATTTTTTTTTCCTTATGTTTTTTTTAATAGAAATATATTGAAATTTTAGTTTTAATTTTAAAGCAAACATGTATATCAAATATCAGTAAATGGATATTGTTGTTAATTTGATATTAACTAATGAAAGAAAATTCTAAGTATATTTTATGTATAATACAGAAACTTGTTCTTTGGAAATAATAAAATGTATTTAAATAGAAAAGCTTCTTGGTGAAATGAATGTATTTTTATTTTTTATAACAATTTTTTTAAGTATTGTATGTTTACAGTGCAGTATATGCTTCAAGTGATTCACTCGTGTTGAAAATTTAAGAGTTTATGAAGCGATTATTCGCTGAACTTATGTGATATATTTGTAAGGTTTCTTGAATAGGAGTAATCTGAAGAGATATTTGAAATCTCATGAAAGAAACATCAGATGTAGTGTATGTCCTAAGAAATTTAAGTTTATAGTTTGAAAAGTCGCGAAGCTTCTCGTCTTAGAATTTTGTAGTGAATAATCACAAGTTCTTTTCATGTAAAAAGGATATGAAAACTTATAAAGTTACTTTTAAGAGTAAATCGTGATAAAAAATATTTAGTGAGCATAAGAATTTAAAACAATATGATTCTTTACATCGTATTGAATGTTCGGACATTTTTTCAAGTAAAACAGAATTTGAAGAAAATCTCACGAACCTTTTTTTTTTTTTTTTTTTAATTTTGCTGGTGTCAAAAGAAACAGAAATATGCTGATGATGTGATGTTTGAAACAGCATGATACTTCTCTTCTTATAAATTGCATCCATTGTTTACAAGTGTTTAAAAGAAAAAGTGATCTCTTACACCACATTCGAATGCGACATGGTTTGATACGAATCTTACAAAAACGAAGAAACGTTGACATCGTTAATACATGCAAGTCTTCTAAAATCGCAAGTCTTAATAGTATGTTCGCAATTGAATCGATTTGCTAGAACATAGAAAATGATCATGTCTTAGATGTACTTCTTGAATATATAAAATTGTAGTTAGTAGGGAAAAAATGAGTTATGATGTAGTTTTACACTGAGTTATGATATCGGTGTTTGAAATGGTAATCAATAGTTACATTTAAAATGTGTCGTGAGTGTGAAAATGCAGAAATAAAAGAGCTTTGGCGAATTTAATAAACGTGGTTCAATGTGGTTGATGGAAAAATTTGTTCCATGTGAATTAAATAGTGTAAGATATGAACCTCTTTCTCTCAATAGTTAATTATTCAATTGTAAGACAATTAAACTTTAAATATATATGCATATAGTATATGTAATGATTAATATTACATTGATTAATGTAAATAACTGATGATATGTGTATTAACATAGTGAATGTTCGCTTTTATGAAGTTCTAAGCATTACTTTAAATACCATTCATAAAACTTTTATCTCATATATACAAACATGACAATATCTATTGAGTTTTCGTTTATTCTTTGGAATGTATGAAAGTTTAAAATATTTTTTTTTTAATTTAATGTAGATTGGAGTAAAATATCTGTATCTTTCTTCATTTCAATCGGTAATATCTGTATGCTGGTAAAGGTACGTATGTTCGTAAGAATTATACTGTGTCACATTTTTGACAATCTTCTTTCATTCATATTAGCTAATAAGAGAATTATTGAAGTTAGTAAAGTAATGAAAATCAACGTTATTGAAAGAAAACTCTAAAAGCATTTACATTTCCAGAAATATATCAAAGTTCCTTTTCTTAAAAACAGCAGGTGTATCGTAGTTTTTATTTCTATTTCATTAAAAGCTGAACTTGTAAAATAAAAATTTTCTATTAGTGTAAGGTAAACAAAAAGAAAATCAAGAGACAATCCGTATCATGAATGAAATTCAAGTCTTACATCGGATTAAAAAGAAATATTCTGAATCTAAATGTTTATGCCTATTTAGCACAAAATGCGTTTATTTGTGTTATAAATTTAACTAAAAACCATTCTTATAACAGTATGTTGCCTTTAAACTGGGTAAAAGTGTTAAGTATATTTTCTGATGGTATTGATATACTTGTCAAAGAAGTTCTAGAAACCTCAAATGTCGAAAGAGCATATGATAAGAATCTCCTTTCCTATCGCTACGTCAGTTACAGGTTAAGGGGTGGCTTGAATGGATAAAGGTAATGTTTGTGCAAAAATATAGTAGTTCTATTTTGAAATGAGAAATAATTCGCTTTTTGTCAATTAAGGAAACTTGTGGTATTATTAAATAGAATGTCAGTGAAAGACATTGCGTTTGCATAGTGAATTATGAAGGTACTGAAAGGTAGCAAAGGAGGTGAATGAAAGAATTAATTTGAACAAATAAGGTAAGGCTATCATTAAAAGAAAAAACTGTTTAAAAGATGTATGTTAGAATTAAAAGTAAGATGTTAAAATTTAAAAAGATGTAACAGAGTAAAACCAAAGAATACTGGTAATTCCCATCTGGAAAACAGTAATTTGAGTACGATATTGAAAAAGTTGGTTTTAAGAATTTCTTTATGCATGTGATGCAACACAATTGCTAGTTTATCATGAGTGCTGACATAGATGCAATTAGTGCAGGAAAAATAGTAAAATTAGTATAGTTAGTGTCTCTAAAACATGAAAAAATAATAGTGTGAGCAGTGTAAATTCATTTGAAGTACTGAAATATGACATAGACTAAATATCAGAAAATGTAAGAAATATTTTGGTAATGTGTGGATGATGAAACACTGAACGTGGTTGTAAAATTAGAAATGAAAATTATCAACACACTTAAAGGTAATCGGGATTTAAAACTAAACATGATGTTAGAAACTTTGAAGACCATAAAACTATATGAGAAAGAAATACATTTAGATATAAATGGTATTAAACTGTAAAGTTGTGAATGGAAATTTCTGAGTAAAACCTGTAGATGATCTATTATGATCGAGGAATAAAACAAGTATTATAAAAATTGTAAGGAAATATTTGAATATGGAGTAAATGAAAACAATCCATATCGTTAAAATGAATAAAAAGGGATAAAATGTTGGAATTACGAGTGATGAGACAGAAATAAAAACATTATAATAAATAAGTTAAACTAGAATTATGAAATATAAACACAGAAGGGAAATCATGAACGTAAGAAAAGCAATTAAAAGTTATAGACTTAAGTTTTTTTAAAAAATATTCGGTAATGTAAGGAAGATATTGTTAAACACGTGAAAGAAATTAGAAATTCTGTAGAAAATTTAGTAAAAGAACTAAGATCACGAAAAATAAACGTTTCTTTTTAAATACAATTTCATACCACTAAGTTAAAGTGTGTATAGAATACTAGAATGGTTTAAAAAAAGTAAATGAAGTTAAAATTCAGAATATATTGAACATTATAACGTTAAAAAAAGTGTGAAATTGCATCTAAAATTAAGTAGTGTAACAAATAAACAGCATGTGCGGTAACGTTTGTAAAATATAATATATAAGTTAAAAATCAGGGTATGCTGAAATTTATGAAAGGTATGAAAAAAAATAGTATGTGAAAATTAAATAAAATATTACAAATTAGAAATGTTAAGTATTAAAAAAAAATATGACAGTAAATGAATATGTTATTATGAACAGAAAACCTGAGAAATAAGTTAAAGTTTCATGGAAAAACTAGAAAGAATAAAAGTATCAGAATAAAATTGAGTAATAAAAAAAAATTATCTTGTAGTTTCATTAAAGGAAAGTCTTTTCTTTATATTTGTTTCTTTTACATTGTTTTCAGAGTCGCGCATTGAATAATTTTAACACCAGACGTAAAAATATATTTCTAAAACATATCATTCACTTTTTCATTAATAGAGGGCAGCATCGCCATTTCATCAAAATTAAGATGCAGAAAATATTTCCCGTTGCCAATTTAAAAAAACTAACTTTAAATGAAAAGCAGGAGGTCTACAACTCAATCAGCAATCTACCAACACCTCAACTCCACTCGAAACCACGCCTCCTAGTGTGATGACGTTGCCTTTGGTCCCGCCCTCTGTGTGACGTCATTGACCACGCCCACACCCCGTGTGGCAGAACCCGTGTTTTTTATCTACTAACCAGAATTGAATCATCAGGCAGCAACGCCATCTAATGTTGCAAAGACACACTAGTAATTCGTTTGGTAACAAAAAATACTAAACATAGCCCCAGGCCTTGAAGCCTTCTAAGGGTTCAAAAAAGACAAATAGTTAAAGCATACATAATAACATTAACAAAAAATTAATTGAAAATATAACTAAAATTAAAGTTCAATAATATGAAAAAAGGCAATAGTTCATAGTTCATATTAGTCATGATTTGGGATAAGACACAATTTAGTAACAACTCGTTTGAAATCACCAACGGCTGTATGGATTGTAACCACTCGAACTTTTTTATCACTACCTGGATGAATTAAGGCAATTCTTCCAATTTTCCATTGGTTTGGAGGCAGTTGTTCGTTTTTGATCAGAACTAAATCACCACATTTTAGATTTAGAGACGCACGAAACCACTTAGCACGTTGTTGAAGTGTTGTTAAATATTCTGCACACCATCGTTTCCAAAAATGTTGCACAGTCTGTTGAACTAGAGACCAACGTTTAAGTCGTGAAGATTTCACATCACTCAAGTCAGATTCCGGAATGGCAAGCAAAGGGGCTCCAATCAGAAAATGACCTGGAGTCAATGCAAGTCGTTTGGATCACTAGACATCGCACAAAGAGGACGGGAATTCATACACGCTTCCACTTGTGTAAGCACTGTTAAAAATTCCTCGTAAGTTAGAAGTGTGGATCCTAATACTCGTTTAAGATGAAATTTCATGGATTTCACGTTAGATTCCCACAAGCCACCGTAGTGAGGAGATGTCGGAAGATTAAATAACCAAGTTATACGTTCTGAGGTAATGTAGTCACATAATTCACTGCTTTTCTCAATGCGTGCTGCATTTTTATAATCTCCTTCAGTTCCTTACTAGCACCTTTGAAGTTAGTAGCACAGTCACTTGAAATTTTAGATGGTTTGCCTCGTAGGGCGATAAATCTTTTTAGAGCTGCTAAAAACGTTGAAGTTGATAGATCACTGACTAACTCCAAGTGTACAGCTTTTGTTGAGAGACACACAAAAATGGATACGTAACACTTGAAAGTTTTTGTTCTTCTCCCAACTTGGGACTTAATAGAATATGGACCAGCATAATCAACACCGGTGACTGCAAAAGGTCTTGATGGTTGAACTCTGGGCGAGGGTAAATCACCCATTATCTGGGTCACAGTCTTGCCTCGATTTCTAATACAAGGAATACATCTGTGAATAATCTTTCTCACTACGCTTCTCACCGAAAGAATCCAAAACTGCATTCGTAAAATGCTTATTAATAACTCTTGACTAGCATGCAAATAATTGACATGGTAATGAGTTACGATGGGATTAGTGACACGTCCTTCCTTTGGAAGCAAAATAGGATGTTTGCTATTTTCAGGAATGTTTGCATTTTTTAAGCGACCACCTACTCGAATGACGCCTTCTTCATCAAGGAAGGGAGTTAATTGTATTACTCGGCTGCTCACACCTTTTAATTTTCTCGATGTTTTTAAATAAGAGAGCTCTTGAGGAAAATATGATTCTTGGACATTTTTTATCACTGTTTTAGTAGCTAATCGAAGCTCATCGGTTGTCAGAAAACCTCTCAAACGATTTTCGGAGAAGTTTCGACAGTTGTAAATAAATCTTAGGCATAATGCAACTATACGATGTAATTTTGTCCAAGATGAATACCGTTTAAAAATGTCATTTTCCTTTACTGTACAAGATACTGAAATGCAAGTTTTTCTTTCTTCTCTACTAACTCCTTCATAGTCTACATCAGCAAGATGTTCACTGTTAGGACATGGTTCGAAATCTTGTGAATATAACCAAGTAGGTCCAATGAACCATCGCTCACACTTCAGAAATTCTGCTGGAAACATTCCTCTTGTACCTGAATCAGCTGGGGCCCGCTTTCCATGGATATGGTTCACATTAGGAATCCATTAGGTTCCTTACATTAGGAATTGTATTCTGTATTTTAGCAACGCGGTTTGCAACAAAGGGAACCCAACGGTATGGTTCTGCAGAAATCCAGGACAGTACAACAGTTGAATCTGTCCAGGCCAAAACTTTACGTATAGGAAACTCTAAATGTTCTAACACTGATTTAAGCAAATTCACTAACAAAACTGCGGCGCATAACTCTAATCGAGGTAATGATTGCACTTTCAGAGGGGCAACTCTTGTTTTTGATGTTAAGAGTGTTACCTTTGATGTCCAAATTACGTGACACTGAACGCAAATAAATTGCTGCACAGTATCCTTTCTCGGAGGCATTACAAAAAGCACAACTATCAATACAGTTTATGTCAGGAATCAGAACAAATGTCGGTAATTTTAATTGTTGAATAAGATGCAAATTTTTTCAAAAACTGTTCCATTTGTTAGCAGTCTCATCACTAAAAAACAGAAATAGGTTCATCCCACAATAAATGGAGTTTCCACATGTCTTGTATCAAGATTTTGACATAAATAATACAAGGAGCAAGCCAACCCAATGGGTCAAATATTTTCACTAAATCAGAAAGGATATCTCTTTTAGAGTATTTAAACTTTTCACCAGAAATGGATACGGAAAAGTTAAAGTAGTCTTCACGGGGGTTCCAATTAATTCCTAAAACTTTGATTGAGCTATCGTCTTGAATTTTCATAGCCTCAGAATCATTTCTCAACTCCTGGGGTATATTCTCTAACACTGACAAGTCATTAGATGACCATTTACGCAGAAGAAATCCTCCACGTTCTAACATTTGCAAGAGTTGATTTACTAGATTTTTGCACTCTTCAGTGTTTTGAGCACCTACCAAACAATCGTCTACAAAAAAGTTTTGAAGTGCAGCCTTCGAAGCTAAAGGATAGTTATTCTGCTCATCGTAGGCAAGTTGGTATAAAGCACGAGTAGCGAAATATGGTCCACTATATTTCATACATATATTTTATTTGCATAAGAGCAGCACCATGTCCCAGCGAGAGCCGAAAGCGGCTCGCGAGTCGCGCTGTGGATACCTTGAATACATAGGATAATTTAAAAATATCTGGAATATAGAATAGACCGAAATAAGCAGATTTTTTGATAAAATATGCATGCGGGAATGGCTTGTTCAGGTGGTACAGGGAGCTCGTGAGCGAATTCGATATGTATCCAAGAAGGTATCCAAGTAGGTAGAAGTGTTCTGCTAAAATAAATCAACATTTCCGCTCGAATTTCGAATTTCGAATAGTATGCATCGTTTTACTAACGCGAAGATCACCGACATACATTTTATCGTTGAGATTCCAGCTAAAACGGGACAGCTACTCAAACGAGGCACAAAGAGCAATACCCATCTCCTTTGGATCACCATGTATCTCCTTTGAACAGCTCCTCCGTTTTACTCCGCAGCCCTATAGATAAAATGCATATATGTAAGCTCCGCATTTGTGTAGCGATGCATACCGCTCGAATTCCTCATGGAGAATGACGATTTGCGCCAGTAGGATGCTTTTTATCTACCGTTTAGCAGCGCCATGTACCACTTCAAACCACCATTTTTTCACTCACATCCTATTATAAAATCTGCTCATTTCTGTCCCCTCTACTAGCATTTTTAACCGCCTTAGTGACGCTGACTGCCATACCAATGGGCCCGGGTTCGAATTCTGGAGAATATATGGATGTTTATCAGCGTGTCCTTGCGGCAAGAGAGCACTCAAAATACACCACAAAGTCTTCTCGAAAAGTTGGTAGCAGGGGAAGAGTACGGCGGTCCGAGGGACAGCCATTCTCCGGGGTGTTCTTCCTCAAAATTTGAGGCGGAACTACCCAGTTAGTACGAAGAGTTAGTACCCAGTTAGTACGACTTATGATGAAATTCTGGTAGTATCTCGCCCCATACTTGCCTTAGGTTTTTTTTTTTTTTTTTTTGCCATATATTTTTGAATCAACCTGTATTTTTCTGTGAATCAATTTTTGAATCAACCTTCTTGTATACATAATAGTTGAAATAAAAATAATGAATTAAGTAAACTGAAATGTGGCAATATACTTAATTGTTGTTTCACCGTTATAAATAGAAGTCATAAATATGCAGGTACCACTATATCATTTTTTGTTATTTTATGCCTGAAATTTGTAATCTTGATAAATAGGAAAAAAATTAAATTTGCGATTGTAAGCACTTATATGTGCATATATAAAGGAAATATAAAAAGATTGAGATAAATATTACGTCAAGACTCCCCAGTGCTTTTGCAGACGAATTGGCAAGCGCGAGACCACCTAGGATTTTTCTTTACTTCCATTAGTTCTCAACTGCAAGGTTTACACATTGTAACGATTTATTACTGGAGAGAAACAGCACGCAAATTTGTAATTAGTAATTGCAACTTATAAAAGAAAGGGAAAAAAGTCTCTCATTTGGAAAGCGCGTAATAGTTCTACTTAGAAATCTAGTGGGGAGGCTAAGAAACAAAAAAGGAATCCGTCATTTTTCTCTCAGGTTTTAATTACGGATGGAATAAGAGCTTTAGATATGTTTTTTTGCTGAACTGTGGCCAATTAATCTTAGTTGCGTGCGATAAAGTTATGTCTCATCTTTCTTGTTACTTCACATGCAGGATACTCCAAAAAAAAAAAAAATCTGTCAAGTAAAACGTAATAGTACTTGCAAAGAACAATCTTAAAAATTAAAAATGCTTTTCAGAAACTTAGAAGTTATTTGAAAACATTGCATACCGAAAAACAAATTTTAAAGTAAACTTAATAAACAAAGTGCATTTATTTCTTAAAATTTATTCACGTGAAGTTTTTAATACGTTTTAACAGCAATATTTGATGCAGTATCTCATTCTAAATTATGCTTCGGAAAATATCCCGGGGTTTGCAAATATTCTCGTTGTTTGTCAACATAGTCGAAATGTTTAATGTAATTAGGGACTAAATATGCATCCCAACAGTAACAAAATCATGCCTTATAAATATATTAGTGGACAAACTCGCCAGATGAGCGGGCTACGACCAAAGTAATATTTATAAGTTCTATGTACTAAAAAACTGAAAATAAAATGAACTATTAATTTAAAGTACCTCATAGAAAATTGCCAGCTGCGAATAAAGCAAAATTTATGAGTTCTGTGTACAACTGAAAAGAAAGTGCATGAAAACGTTTCAGTATGATTGAAATCAGTTCATTCTTTCCAAGCAACAACCAATTCGTAAATAATGTTTTTTGATTCCCAAACCACGAAACAAAATCTTTGGACACTTCAGGTTAATATGTATACGTACGACGGCATGATTTAAATTTAATGTAATATAATAACTTTTTTTTTTCAGTATCAATAAAAGTATTAACGTGGCAATAAAATACCGTGTTAATTATCTTAATCTGAAACAAAAAAGTTGCCAACAGCAGCTATTTATTCAAAATGCTAACATTAACGCAAATTTTCGACATACAACGACGTTACATGAAAACACGTACTTTCTTCAACGACAGAAAATAACCTTCTATACTAATAATATATTTAATGTTTGGCAATGCTATTTTTATCTCATATTTTGTAAAACTTAAAAATTTTTATTAACAAACTCTACGATTCGAAAGCGAGCAATGGCAACACTTTTCGGAATAAAGCAGTTTTTTATATCCAGCACGCAAGACTGTTGCCACTCGAAAAAATGAGGGGAAATTAGTATCTTCAGAGTTCTTAACTAATATCTCGGCTGATTAAAGTCGGAAGAAGCTGAAAATGATCGAAATGGTTTCCCAAGGGTTTGGAATCCGGGGGTACCTCTCTCGAAAGTTCCACAGGAGATGATGTCACAAAGAAACAAACAGACACACGCGCATAGATTTTAATAGTCAAAGCCTGATTTAGACTTGATAAGGCTCTAAGCTACTTGAGAATGGGGCCCTTTATAAGTCTGTTATAATATATTTTAATACTATTTATACTATATTTCAATTTTTGGGGGGACCCCCCAAAAAGTGGGGGCCTTAAGCTATAGCTTGTGAAGCTTATACTTAAATCCCGTCTTGTTAATAGTATAGATGTTTTAAGGAACGTAAATGGTTCACAAAAAAATACAGTTTCGAATTTCTAATACCAGCTGCAAATCGCAACAACTAAATCACCCATAGAATTTTATATTGAAAAATATTGCAGAATAGAAAAACGTGGAGGAAATCTCAACTTTTGGAATAAAATATCTGACAAAGAGAACTATTTAATAGCATTAATAGCAAATTATTCTGTAAAATATAGAGACTTCGGAGAAAATACTTCGGAAAATAAAGCATATATTTTATAAAATAAATGAATGCTAATGCTGAATATATTTCTGTAAAGCGATCAGTAAACCGTGAATGATCTCTGAGAGAGATTTCACTAGACAGTATTAAGAAAAATTAAACCATGAACAAATCTGCAACGGCCGACAGATAAGACTGCTAAACACTTATTATTTCGCCTCCCTCACGATTCGATTCCCAGTGAACAACCTGATTGCATGACTTTTTCTCCCTGCGTAATTAATGGGCCGCCCAGACGTATAGTGCTCAGTGAAGCTGACTTCTGATAGGCCCGGGCTCAAATCCTGGAGAAGGCATGGATGGTTCTAAGCGTATAGTGTCTGCGCGGCAAGAGAGCAATCAAAATGCACGGCCAGCTAAAAGTCCTCTCGAATGGTTGTTGGTTGGGTAAAAGGGGGGGTTTCCCTCAAAACTGAGGCAGAGCTTCACATTTAAAGTGATGGGACTATACTTGTACAACCTGTGACGAAATTTTGCTGTCCCCGCTCACCTATAACAGCACGCATGTAGAACTAATGCAAGGTGGATAAGAGCTAATTCCCATTAGAAAGTCTCCCAGGAAGGCATACTTCCTGAATCAGACAATC